TATAATTTGGAATTTCGGCACAAATAAGAAGAACTACAACAAATGAAAATGTGACACTCTTAGCCAAAGATTATTTTTGTGTTAAAAAAAATACAAAACTCTTAACTACAGATATTTTAATTTATAACCAACATTATCCTGAATGTTTTTCTGGCTTTTTTTTTTTTTTTTTTTTTTTTTGTTTTGTCGGAGAAGAAAAAGAAAGTACACATTGGCTTTGCTCCAAAAATTATCCACTTTAAAACATACTTACTCATACTTCACAAATGTAAACATTCCGTTGATTGTTGTTGATATTGTTGGGATTTTTTTTTTTTTTCGAGGCATCCAGCTTCCTTAGCAGTTCTTTTTGCGAACAAAACATGCAACCAAAATGCAACTGTTATGTTGCTTTTGGCAAAATGCCACAATTGAACATAATTTAACAACAATGAACAAAAAATTATATGGGAATCGTAATGTTCTTTTATTTTATTTTTTTTTTTTTAGCTGGAATTGTTAGTATATAGTTACACAGTGGGATAGATTGAACAAATGTAAAATGAGGCAAAACCCTGCACACAGGATCCGCCGTACAATATACAAGCGTCACACTTCCGATGTGCCACCAATTCGGAAATATGTGGTAACCCAAAATATGCGACTATGACCACTGTCCTTGTAGAGAACTGTTTCTGGTGATGAATTCTGGGCTGTCGTATGTTTAGGACTCCTTCAGTAATAGGTTCTGTGGTTATTGAGCTCTTGGTAACACATCTTTGTTTCAGATGATACCTTATATGGGTCAAAGTATATTTTTCTTATATCTCAATCAGTCCCAATGTGCAACCTAGACTGTACTACACAATGACATCCATTTTTGTCATTAACAAAAAGTGATGTCATTTACCAGGCAGAGGAAGTAATGTGTGTGGATGGTTGCAATTTGCAAGTAAACATACTCTATATATTTTTTTCCTATACAACACCAACCAGAAAAAAAAATGGAGTTTGTTTGGATGCATAAGAGAAACTAAATTGTGTAACTATTATGATTAAATGTATGCAAGCCCGTATGTATGTGTGCTTCTTTACTGACAAAAGGGCAACTTATAAAAGCAGCAACTGAAAATCTGAAAATTGGTTGTTTTGATGACGACAATGCAGGCGTTGATGATGACAATAATGATAATGTATGAGATATTTTAGTCATGACAGAAGATATGTTGTCTATATAGAGGGAATCTAGTAAACAATCAACTTTAAGAAAATAAATGAGATTACACTTAACTTCAATCTAAGATAAACTGAACGCGATGATATTTTATTAAAATATTATTACATTTGTTATATGTAAGTATACTGATATAAAAAATATTTCAAATGATAGAAAACAGTGCTTCCAATAAGCATACCGCACTGAAATTTGAGTGTTGCTGACTTTTTAGTGGTTAAAAAACGACTCAATAAAATAAGGCATAAGTACCTACAACCAGAATCATTTTCGGTTACAATATACAACTTTTCTTATTCGAATATTACCTTAAAAGCCAACAACGTGTTTAAAAACTGAAATCAATGGGTCACATTAAATTGGTTATCAAAATTTTTATTATTTTCATTTTACACAAAACTTTCTGCAGGAAATTACTTGGCTTTTGTTACGATTTTTTATGCTTTTTAAATTATAGTTAAATGGAAATTTAAAAAAAAGGAGACAAAATTACATTTTTCTTTATTTTACCATTATCACTTTTGATACTGGCGATAAGCAGTTTGTAAATATTTTATCCAAGAGAAAAAAAATTTATTACATTTTATCACCATAATGGTTTTCTTTGGTAAAGTGCACAAATTGAATAACAAATACTTGAGGTGCTAAAGTTCGTGCCATGTTTTTAGCATCTCTCTTTTATTTACATCTTGATTTTATCCATCCATGAAAGAATGTACCACATTTTCTATTTTACGGCATAGTAGTGCTCGTCTTTTTCTCATCAGCATCTTATCATCGTCGTCGTCATCATCATCGTCATCCACTATTATTATTTGTGGTGTCACCTTAAGCGTTGCCATGAATTCCTTTCGTGTGAATGACAATGTCATTAAATTGCTTTTGAAGTGTCGTTTTAATTCTCAAGGCAGTTTTATTAATTTTAGGCATTTGAAATTGTTTACCATAGAAATTCCTCTAAATTCTTTCTTTTCACAATTTTTCTCTTTTTTACGAAATATTAACGAAATATAATTCAACGGAGACTACAAATTTTGAATTATGTTTTATAAAGTTTTTGGTGAAAGGTTTGTTGCATCACATTAACTAAGGTATTTTACATTAAAAGTTATTATTGGATCATTGAAGACGTCTTTTTAGAGTAAACTAGTATTGAACTTACTGAAATAACCTAAAACTGTACTGGAACTGAACTAACTGAACTATAACTGAACTATAACTGAACTAGAACTGAACTAGAACTGAACTAGAACTGAACTAGAACTGAACTAGAACTGAACTAGAACTGAACTAGAACTGAACTAGAACTGAACTAGAACTGAACTAGAACTGAACTAGAACTGAACTAGAACTGAACTAGAACTGAACTAGAACTGAACTAGAACTGAACTAGAACTGAACTAGAACTGAACTAGAACTGAACTAGAACTGAACTAGAACTGAACTAGAACTGAACTAGAACTGAACTAGAACTGAACTAGAACTGAACTAGAACTGAACTAGAACTGAACTAGAACTGAACTAGAACTGAACTAGAACTGAACTAGAACTGAACTAGAACTGAACTAGAACTGAACTAGAACTGAACTAAACTGAACTAGAACTGAACTAGAACTGAACTAGAACTGAACTAGAACTGAACTAGAACTGAACTAGAACTGTACTAGAACTGATCTAGAACTGAACTAGAACTGAACTAGAACTGAACTAGAACTGAACTAGAACTGAACTAGAACTGAACTAGAACTGAACTAGAACTGAACTAGAACTGAACTAGAACTGAACTAGAACTGAACTAGAACTGAACTAGAACTGAACTAGAACTGAACTAGAACTGAACTAGAACTGAACTAGAACTGAACTAGAACTGAACTAGAACTGAACTAGAACTGAACTAGAACTGAACTAGAACTGAACTAGAACTGAACTAGAACTGAACTAGAACTGAACTAGAACTGAACTAGAACTGAACTAGAACTGAACTAGAACTGAACTAGAACTGAACTAGAACTGAACTAAACTGAACTAGAACTGAACTAGAACTGAACTAGAACTGAACTACTGAACTAGAACTGAACTAGAACTGAACTAGAACTGAACTAGAACTGAACTAGAACTGAACTAGAACTGAACTAGAACTGAACTAGAACTGAACTAGAACTGAACTAGAACTGAACTAGAACTGAACTAGAACTGAACTAGAACTGAACTAGAACTGAACTAGAACTGAACTAGAACTGAACTAGAACTGAACTAGAACTGAACTAGACTGAACTAGAACTGAACTAGAACTGAACTAGAACTGAACTAGAACTGAACTAGAACTGAACTAGAACTGAACTAGAACTGAACTAGAACTGAACTAGAACTGAACTAGAACTGAACTAGAACTGAACTAGAACTGAACTAGAACTAGAACTGAACTAGAACTGAACTAGAACTGAACTAGAACTGAACTAGAACTGAACTAGAACTGAACTAGAACTGAACTAGAACTGAACTAGAACTGAACTAGAACTGAACTAGAACTGAACTAGAACTGAACTAGAACTGAACTAGAACTGAACTAGAACTGAACTAGAACTGAACTAGAACTGAACTAGAACTGAACTAGAACTGAACTAGAACTGAACTAGAACTGAACTAGAACTGAACTAGAACTGAACTAGAACTGAACTAGAACTGAACTGGAATTGAACTAGAACTGAACTAGAACTGAACTAGAACTGAACTAGAACTGAACTAGAACTGAACTAGAACTGAACTAGAACTGAACTAGAACTGAACTAGAACTGAACTAGAACTGAACTAGAACTGAACTAGAACTGAACTAGAACTGAACTAGAACTGAACTAGAACTGAACTAGAACTGAACTAGAACTGAACTAGAACTGAACTAGAACTGAACTAGAACTGAACTAGAACTGAACTAGAACTGAACTAGAACTGAACTAGAACTGAACTAGACTGAACTAGAATAGAACTGAACTAGAACTGATATAGAACTGAACTAGAACTGAACTAGAACTGATCTAGAACTGAACTAGAACTGAAATTAACTGTCTTATCTTAGCAATGTGTGCACGATATGGTTTTATTTGGCATAAATCAATTATACCTAGGTTATTTATCAAAACATTTTACTTCACTAAAGTAGATAAATGGTCTAGGTGGTCGCATTATTATTTATTGTTTTTATAAAATGCATGCAATGTTCTAATTAACCCTAAATTTAATTTTTTCTTATCTCTGGATTTATTGTAGACTTTTTTAAATGTTTTGTCACTCGATAAGAATATGGTGAATTTTTATGTTGAAATTCTCTTAAATCAATAAGTGGTTCAAAATTTGTGCTGTAAATGAACAATATTTTATTAAAAAGAGCTGTATACATACATATGTATAGTTCTCTTTAATCGATAAACAAATAGACAATAGAATACAGAAAATAGTTTAGAAAAAAACTATTATCAAATTTGAGTTACAGATTAGATTACTTTTTAATAAAATTAAATCAAAAATATTTATTAAAGACTATTTGGTTAGAAAATGTAATATTTATAACGATAGCCAATTTATACTCGAACATTTTGCCCACTGAATCTGTTTTATAATTCAAAGTTAAAAAAAAAATTAAAATATTTTTGAATTTAGTAATTATTACAATTTGTCAACACTGATCACTAATTACTCTTTCTCTCTTTAACATAGTGCTAAGCTAATGTACTCGCGTAATAAAGAAATATAAATAAATAAACGATCTACAATTACTTCAACATTTAGTAGGTGTTAAACGCTCTTTGTCAACAGATCGTCAGTTTGAAATAAATTAAAATTAATTGAATAGAATTATGGAATACTAAACCAAATTTAAATAAATTTCAAAGAACACTAAACTACAGAAATGGCAGCAAATCATATAAAAGAAATAAAACGAGAGGTAATTAAAATAATAGAAACATTTTTATAAAATATAAATTTTAATATGTAAAACTAAAAACAACTTAAGCGTAAAAAAATTTAAAATGGACTTTAAACCTTTACCTTTGACAAAAAACGATAAGAAATAAACAAAGTGGTAAACAATGTAATAAAATAAAATAAAACTCATGGATATTTATATAAATATTATATAGAAATATGGATATATAAATATTATATAGAAATATGACTTTTTTTTATTTATTGATAATCTAGCAACTTGGTAAATACAATAATTTTCTATACAAATATTTATAAGTTTAGTATCGGTCACACTTTAGCTAGAACTAAGATAAGATTTGTATTTAATATCTTTAGAATTTCAATGACACCATGATTTAAATCGCCTCATTCAATTAAACACAATAAGTAAAATTTTTATTTAATTGATATAATATTTTATTTAACCGAAAACTACAAACATATGTTGCGGAATATTGTTTTGTGTAAATTGAAAAGAAAAAGTGAATTTTAATTATTGCAATTTATTTATTTAACAATTAAAAATTCTTATTTCTTAAAAATGAATGAAAACTGTAGTAAAAGATATATGTATCTTGTAATCGTTGTGTGTGTTTTTGTTGTTATTTTAACTTTGTTTAAAATTTTCTATAAAAGTGAATACATTGGACTTCGACCTAATTTATATATCGCTTCGGAACTCTTGCACGCACAAAATCAGTGAATGCAGCTCAACAAAAAAGGTTATATATGAAAACATTTTTAATTATAATATCAATAATCTCAACCGCGCCTTTTTATATTTCTAGAAAAATCCTTCCTAAATTCAAACTTTTATTAGTAAGGTACAAATTGGAGCCTAACTGACTTTAAATAAAACAAGATTTCTAAAGTCAATTTCGACTCGTCTCTCATCAGTCCATGCAGTTTTTGTAAAGAATTTTAGAATTCTTTCAAATATTGTTTAATCATTTGTCGATTTATAAAATTTATCTTACCGATATCTTTACCGTATAGCATTTCATAAAGTTGCTTTATTTATTAGTTGTTTTAAACATTTAAAAAAAGTTTCAGTTCTAGTTCAGTTCTAGTTCAGTTCTTGTTCAGTTCTAGTTCAGTTCTAGTTCAGTTCTAGTTCAGTTCTAGTTCAGTTCTAGTTCGTTCTAGTTCAGTTCTAGTTCAGTTCTAGTTCAGTTCTAGTTCAGTTCTAGTTCAGTTCTAGTTCAGTTTCTAGTTCAGTTCTAGTCTAGTTCAGTTCTAGTTCAGTTCTAGTTCAGTTCTAGTTCAGTTCTAGTTCAGTTCTAGTTCAGTTCGTTCAGTTCTAGTTCAGTTCTAGTTCAGTTCTAGTTCAGTTCTAGTTCAGTTCTAGTTCAGTTCTAGTTCAGTTTCTAGTTCAGTTCTAGTTCAGTTCTAGTTCAGTTCTAGTTCAGTTCTAGTTCAGTTCTAGTTCAGTTCTAGTTTCAGTTCTAGTTCAGTTCTAGTTCAGTTCTAGTTCAGTTCTAGTTCAGTTCTAGTTCAGTTCTAGTTCAGTTCTAGTTCAGTTCTAGTTCAGTTCTAGTTCAGTTCAGTTCTAGTTCAGTTCTAGTTCAGTTCTAGTTCAGTTCTAGTTCAGTTCTAGGTCAGTTCTAGTTCAGTTCTAGTTCAGTTCTAGTTCAGTTCTAGTTCAGTTCTAGTTCAGTTCTAGTTCAGTTCTAGTTCAGTTCTAGTCAGTTCTAGTTCAGTTCATAGTTCAGTTCTAGTTCAGTTCTAGTTCAGTTCTAGTTCAGTTCTAGTTCAGTTCCTAGTTCAGTTCTAGTTCAGTCCTAGTTCAGTTCTAGTTCGTTCTTAGTTCAGTTCTAGTTCAGTTCTAGTTCAGTTCTAGTTCAGTTCTAGTTCAGTTCTAGTTCAGTTCTAGTTCAGTTCTAGTTCAGTTCTAGTTCAGTTCTAGTTCAGTTCTAGTTCAGTTCTAGTTCAGTTCTAGTTCAGTTCTAGTTCAGTTCTAGTTCAGTTCTAGTTTTCAGTTCTAGTTCAGTTCTAGTTCAGTTCTAGTTCAGTTCTAGTTCAGTTCTAGTTCCAAGTTCTAGTTCAGTTCTATTGGTGGCATGTCATAATGTCCAATGTCATAATGTCCATGGACATTATGACACACCAAAAAATGACATAACGTTCATGGACATTATGTCACTTTTTTAAAATGTCATAATGTCCATGGACATTGTGACACTTTGAAATCAGAAATGTATTGGAAAATTTGTTTAAAATTTAAGTTAGGGACGCTCTTATCCCGAAAAGAATTGCTCCTAAATTTGGTAATTGTTACATTTTGGACTCCTATTAAAAAGTGTCCTGGATAGCCGGCCTTCGGCCGGGCGCAGGGGTTTCAAACTCTGTGGTATTTCGAACACCGGCTTCGCTAAATTAAGCCTTTTTTGATAAATGGACTCTTTGAAATCCATGGATTTTATGTCCCATTGCTCATGGACATTGTAACACTTTTGAAATTGTCATAACGTCCATGGACATTATGACTCAATTTAGTGCGTCATAACGTCTATGGACATTATGACATTGGACATTATGACACGCCACCGTTCTAGTTCAGTCTAGTTCAGTTCTAGTCTTAGATCAGTTCTTTATATTTAATTATTTCCAACGTTGTAATTATTCCTAATGTTAATTCTTATTTCATTTCTCATTACAGTTCATAGACCTGACAATACCCATGCCCTGGGGTTATGTGGTGGGACGTTGGTATGGCAATCGTAAAGTTAGACCCATTTTGGCGCTACATGGTTGGCTAGATAATATGGGCACATGGAATACTCTTATACCATTACTACCCGAACATTTGGGAATACTTTGCATCGATTTACCCGGTCATGGTTTATCACCAAAACTACCCAGAGGCATTGTCTATCATGCTGTCGACTATGTATGTGTTATTCTACGTATAATGGAAGTATATGAATGGCAAAAAGTTTCCATATTAGCGCACTCTATGAGTTCAATGTTATCTTTTATATTTGCCTCTTTATATCCCGATCGTCTGGATATGTTAATTAGTATAGATGTAGTGCGAACACGTTATCGTGATCCTGCAACACAAATTGAATTCATACGTAATAATATAGAGAAATATTTAGTGGAAGATGATCGCTTACAATTGGCAGGACAAATGGAACCACCTTCTTATACACAAGAACAATTGCTGCAAGTGATGTTTGAGGGTTCCGGTAGATCGGTGGCATTAGAGAATTGTCAGCATATTTTAGAACGTAATATAACCAAATCAGTTAAATATCCCGATAAATACTATTTCTCACGTGATGGTCGTGTTAAATTCTATTTCGAATTCACCACCTCACCACCATTTGCTGCTGAACTGGCTCGTAGAATTCACGATGTACCCTATTGTGTCATTAAAGGTTCACAGTCCAATTACATAGATGAACAAAGTGCAGAAGTAATCGAAATATTGAAGAGTAAAAACCCACATTTTGAACTGCATGAAGTTGAGGGTACGCATCATGTTCATCTTAATAATCCACAAGGTGTAGCGGCTGTCATCAATCCATTTATTAATAGACATCGACCACCTTTAATAGAAACTTGGTCTCTCAATGATGTGGTCATGAGTGAAACCATGGAACGTTGGAGTATTAAAACTAAAAAACGGAAAAGTAAATTATGACTATTACCGTTCTTTACAAACTGTGCTTTAGAAACCATAGACACCGATGAGGAATCTAGCGATGATAGCAATTTTTAATAAATTGCAAGTATTTTAACTTGATTTTAAAATACTAAAGTTATGCTTCAACAATAAAAAAAATGTTTTGTAAAAACAGCGTATTATTATGGTTTCAAAACAGTTTGTAAAGTGTTTTAAATTTAAGATAAATTTTTCCTTTGTGGATAAAATAAAAAAAAACACTCCTTAATGAGTTCTTAAATACATATTATGGGGGTCATAAGTTAAAATCGTTTAAGTGCTAATTATGCACTTATACTACAATCTATGCTATAATGCCAACCTATTACACCTTTAGACTGAACTATTTAAATAAGCAAATGGTGAAAACCTAAAACCATCGATTTATATATTTGATTCTTATCTCTTACATATATTCAAATTAAAAATGTGAACCTATTTTAAACTATGATGTTTTTGGATTCCTTTAAATGTTAGTTAAAAGTAATATTTATATGTTAATAAGTATTCTATAAGATTGTTAGTATTTACTAAATTGTTATTTATTTTCTATGTTAACAATTTAATTTATTATTAATATTTTAATATACATACCTCTTAGTTTCCTAAACTTATAACTTAAATAAAATAAAATAAATACATCAATAAATAATATATTAATATTTTAACCAAACAATTGTTATTTACTGGAATTTACTGTAATATTTGCAAAATCTAAACTGAAAACTGATTACTAACTCCTGATCCACTGTGCAACAATCAACTTGACAACTTAGTGATATAATGAAGCCGTAAAAAATAGATTACTATTACAAAATTCCCAATAATATATTTTATTGCATTTGTGTGGGGAATTTATATCAACATGGAAAAAACAAATTTATTGTTACAAAGATAATTATGTGTAATTGTAAATGAAAGAAAATTATATCGAACAATTTTGCGGCAAAAATTTAAATTTGCATATTTTCAAATATACAATAAAAATATCATAAAATAGAATTGAAACTTTATAATTTACCAGCTTTAACCAATATGATTTGCTAACATCAAACAATATAACTGAAAAAAACACACTTTAGGAATTTGAAGATTCTAGGTCTAATAGTTTTCCAGATTTATGATTCTTTGTATTTATTTCATATTGCAATTTCGCAAATTTTTCAAAGCGTATTTGGATTTAAAATTTTTAATTATTTCTTAATTCATATTGGAGGTGCCAATCTCAAATGTTCACATGTATGTCAAAGTTCTTCGTGCAAAATTTTAGAATTCTAGCTGTAAAAGTTTTCCAGATATACAAACTTTTATATTTAATACATATGGGTGGTTGCACGACCGCTTTTTTATTCCCCCAATTTATTACCCACTTATTCATATTGATGACAGAGTTTTCATTTTCATGGAAAATTTGAGAATTTTAACACTTAGTAAGTCAGTTGTGGCCTGCGGTAGGTACGTGTTCTGGTCTGGTAGACCCGATAGCGGCATAGATGAATTTCTTCGGATTTATAAACAGCATTAGTTAGTTAGTTAGTTAGTTAGTTAGGTAGTAGTTAGTTAGTTAGTTAGTTAGTTAGTAGTTAGTAGTTAGTTAGTAGTTAGTTAGTTAGTTAGTTAGTTAGTTAGTTAGTTAGTTAGTTAGTTAGTTAGTTAGTTAGTTAGTTAGTTAGTTAGTTAGTTAGTTAGTAGTTAGTTAGTTAGTTAGTTAGTAGTTAGTTAGTTAGTTAGTTAGTTAGTTAGTTAGTTAGTTAGTTAGTTAGTTAGTAGTTAGTTAGTTAGTAGTAGTTAGTTAGTTAGTAGTTAGTTAGTTAGTTAGTTAGTTAGTTAGTTAGTTAGTTAGTAGTTAGTTAGTTAGTTAGTTAGTTAGTTAGTTAGTTAGTTAGTTAGTTAGTTAGTTAGTTAGTTAGTTAGTTAGTTAGTTAGTTAGTTAGTTAGTTAGTTAGTTAGTTAGTTAGTTAGTTAGTTAGTAGTTAGTTAGTTAGTTAGTTAGTTAGTTAGTTAGTTAGTTAGTTAGTTAGTTAGTTAGTTAGTTAGTTAGTTAGTTAGTTAGTTAGTTAGTAGTTAGTTAGTTAGTTAGTTAGTTAGTTAGTTAGTTAGTTAGTTAGTTAGTTAGTTAGTTAGTTAGTTAGTTAGTTAGTTAGTTAGTTAGTAGTTAGTTAGTTAGTTAGTTAGTTAGTTAGTTAGTTAGTTAGTTAGTTAGTTAGTTAGTTAGTTAGTTAGTAGTAGTTAGTTAGTTAGTTAGTTAGTTAGTAGTTAGTTAGTTAGTTAGTTAGTTAGTTAGTTAGTTAGTTAGTTAGTTAGTAGTTAGTTAGTTAGTTAGTTAGTTAGTTAGTTAGTTAGTTAGTTAGTTAGTTAGTTAGTTAGTTAGTTAGTTAGTTAACATGCACCCTCCTTTCGAAGTAACTGACTAACTAACTCACTTCTAACCTACCGGAGGCACACTATAAGTTGTTCTTATCTAAGAAATTTAATTTAAATACCCGTCATTGTCATTATTACAAAAGTACTTTTTCGCTAACATTTTTGTACCATTTTAACAACTTTATATTTTAGTTTCTCTGATGAAAATAGATTGCACATATTTAAGAGATTTTTTAAACATTAGTTCTGCCGATGTATGCTTCAGTTATAGATTTTTAATAATTTAATTTGAAGCGTCTTCAGTTTCAATTCAACGAACTCAGAATGCGAAAGCGATTTTTTCAATTTTCATTGATTTTTGTAAACAAAGCCTAAAGATTCTATAAAAAACCTTAAGAAATAAATAAAAACAAACAGACAAACTTCTGTTTGAAAGAAATAAGAAAAAGAATTAATTAAAATTATAATGAATGTGAGTGATTATTTAATGTTAGTTGTATAAAAAATTAATGCAAATAATATTGAGCATAATTATAAGAGAAAGTGTGTACACAGAGAAAAATTACTAAAATTTTTAATGTATTTTATATTTTAAACAAATTATTTCGTTATATATTCTTTCAGTTGAAAAATGTTAAACATGAAGATATAAACATCAGTGTGCCCTGGGGCCACATCGCTGGACGTTGGTATGGAAATCGTAGTGTAAGACCCATATTGGCATTACATGGTTGGCAAGATAATTTAGGAACTTGGGATCGTCTTATTCCCCTGTTACCCCAGCATATAGGAATGATGTGTATAGATTTTCCTGGTCATGGCAGATCCTCCAAATATCCGAATGGCATAACCTATCATATGATTGACTATGTGGACACAATCCTACTAATTATGAAAGAATACAATTGGAAGAAAGTCTCCATATTAGGTCATTCTTTGGGAGGTATTATAGGTTTTATATATACCTCTCTCTATCCTCAAACAGTTGATATGCTTATACAGCTAGATATTATAATGACACCGATAAGAAGCCCTGATTATAGGCTAAAGAAACTAGTAATGGGCACAGAAAAACTCTTAATTGAAAATGAGCGTTTAGAAAGATTAAATTTAGAAGAACCTCCTTCATATTTTTATGAAGAATTAGAAGAAAAGCTATATTTAGGTTCTAACAAATCAATTGAGAAAGAAAATTGTAAATATTTACTCAATCGTAGTATTAATGCATCTCAATTGAATCCAGGAAAATATTATTTTTCACGTGATGGTCGCATAAAATACTATCATGAATTCAATCCTACTCTAGAATTAATTGAAATTATGACTAAACGTTTGAAAAGTGTCAATCATTTGGTGATTAAATTTAATAAATCTGATTATATAGAAAATTATATGTTGGATTTAGTTCGCAAAAACCATTTAAATATGGAGTTTAACGAAGTAGAAGGTACCCATCATGCCCATTTAAATAATCCCAAAGAGGTGGCAGCTAAAATTGTTCCATTTATTTTGAGATTTATGCCAGAAACGGATATGACTACAAGAATACAAAGTAAATTATAAAAGATGATAATTATTTTTGTTTATAAAATATAAAAACAATAAAATGAAAAAATATTTCTGAATTATTTATTTGAATTTATTATATTGTATTATATTTTTCTTAGTGTATATTTAAGTGTTTTGTTTAGAAAAGAGCAAACAACAACCTTTGAACGTTTACTGCACATTAAAAAACATGTATACGATTAAGAGACTTTTATGATTTGATAACGCTCTTATCAATGAGTTCTCTTTCTTTCATGTTTATTAGTAGGTTTCTCTTGTTATTAAATTGTGTGTATGCTTCAGTCACAATCATTGCGACAAGCGTTATCGTATAAATGTGTGATAGCAAAAAACTAGTTTTCTTTGTTGCTTTTTTTGAAATAATAAAAATTTAGATAATCATAAAGAAGTTCATGAAGTTTTAATATTAAAATTATTAATATCTTTAAGGTTTTGATAAAAACAGAATTATTTTTTTTTTAAAGAAAATAACTTAGTTTATAAATGTTTTGTGGCAAAAGTGGTGTTTCATTTGTAGTTTGTTGCTGTAATTGTGTTTGTAGCGTGTTCAAGGTCTCTCGTGTTTTTATGTAAATAGTGTTGTAAACGAAAACAAAACTGAAAAAATCGCTTAAATTAAAAATAATAGTTTCGTAAAAGTGATTTTTATACATTCCTTGTGTAATACCAAGAAATATTGATCTTAGACCCAACAAAGTATATATACATATTCTGGGCCCTTGTGAAATTCTGAGTCGATTTAGCTTTGTCCGTCTGTCTGTCTGTCTGTGTAAAACATGCTCACGATATTACTAAGCAAAGGAAATCTACCAAATTCAAGCAGTTTGATATTTGATATCAGCAAAATGGGTTCACAACGTAAAAGGTTAGACAAAAAATTTCAGGCTATCTCGAAAATTATATAAAATTACGTTTTTTTTCCCCATTCTTAAGTAGTTTTCTCAGAAACTATCAAAGGTATTTCGATGAATTTTGTCAATCAAGTATGTACAAAATCATAACAATTGATGCAATGTTCCCATAGCCCTCATACAAAGGTATATACATGTTCCCGGAAATTAGTTTATCGTTAATAACTCCCTCAACTATATCGGTATCAACATACGGTATCAAAATTTGTACATACAAATATAATATGAACAGAAATCATACTACCAACGTAGATCTGTGTCGGTCCACAATTGGTCATAGCTCACAAATATTTCATTGGTAAATATAGCTATAGTGATAAAATTCGAGTTGAATATGTCTTGTGTACATATAAATTATTTTACAAAATTTTTTCCCCGATCGGTTCGTTATTGGTCATAGCTCCCATATAACCCCCACATCCGAAAATCACGTAAACGCACTTATTTCAATGTCAAATAAAGCTATCTTGATAAAAATCGACACAAAAATGCTTTGTTTCTATATGAATCATTCTAGGAAATTTTTTCCGGATAGGCCCGTAATTAGCCATAGCTCCCATATAAGGTCCACTTTAGAAAATCACTTAAACGCATATATTTCATTGATTTTTAAAGCTATGGGGATAAAATTCGACTTAAATATGTTTTGTGTACATATGAATCATTCTACTAATTGTTTCCCGGATCAGTCCATTATCGGTCATAGCTTCCCCCCACTTCCGAAAATCACTTAAACGCACATGTCTCATTGTAAATAAAGCTATATTAATAAAATTCGACATAAATATGGTCTGTCTAGATATGAATT